GGGAAAGAGCTGATAGTTCAGAGCATCTTTGTTTAGGATTAAAGTATGGAAACACAAGACAAGTTTCTAAGTACGGAACTATTGATAAACCAGAAAGAATCTCAAAATTTCCAATCTAAGCTACTCTGTCTCCTAGCACGAGGATCTCATGGTGCAACCCTGATGCAAGGCAATTGCAAAGCGACTAGAAAGGATCAGACAAACATCTCTCAGCAGATGGAAATCTAACAACCCTCAACAGCATGGGGATCCTCATCCTCAGCATGAAACAGGCTGAAGGGAACTATTTGATTACACTGGTGATTATGGGCAGCTTTACTGTGTTCTACTGCAGCAATTACAAACCAAGTCTCAGCAGACAGCTTAAAAGTTGAGGAGCTGAAAACTCTCTTACGCTTCCTCTTGATCACTTTCAGGTAGCTGAACTTAATAAGGGTGTCCAGGAACCAGAGGCACCGGGCTTTGTGATCTCTGCTCTTCTCATCAGCAGGCAGGAACTTCAGCTCCTCTAGAACAAAGGAGCAATGGCTGAAGGAGAGAGAGGGGGAGAATGAGGCTCAAAGAACCAAGAACCAGTTTACATCATCAGGACAGAACACACATGTAACTTCAATGCTCAGCTGTTGAGAAGAGATCCCTGGACACTGATACAGGACAGCTCAGAAGCCTGCTTTGTAAACACACTTTCCTGTCATTGCCCAGCAGTTCAGCCAGCTGCCTTCAGCATGCAGCTACTAGGAAGGTCACTGCACTGCAGAAACTGCAGTCTCTCCACATGGCACACACCTACTTCCACACAGGCTGATGGGAAGCCCAGGGATCAAGGCACAGTTTGTTCTTCTCCTGCTAACCTCAGCCTGTCAGCACAACAGTTCAACAGCTCTAAGCATACATCCACCACAGCTTGCCAAGCCACAGTAACCTCCACAGTATACTCTGCTCTGGTGAGACCCGCCCTGGGGCCCCGCATCCTTGTCTGGAGCCCCCAGGACAAGAGGGACGTGGAGCTGCTGGAGCGTGTCCAGAGAAGAGCCACGAGAATGATCCGAGGGCTGGAGCAGCTCTGCTGTGAGGACAGGCTGAGAGAGTTGGGGCTGTTCAGTCTGGAGAGGAGAAGGCTCCAAGGTGACCTTATTGTGGCCTTCCAATATCTTAAGGGGGTCTACAGGAAAGCTGGGGAGGGACTTTTTAGGCTATCGGGTAGTGACAGGACTAGGGGAAATGGGGCAAAGCTGGTAGTGGGCAGATCCAGACTGGCCATGACGAAGAAGCTCTTCCCCAGGAGAGTGGTGAGACCCTGGGATGGGTTGCCCAGGGAGGGGGTTGAGGCCCCATCCCTGGGGGTCTTTAAGGCCAGGCTGGAGGAGGCTCTGGGCAGCCTGATCTAGTGGGAGGTGTCCCTGCTCATGGCAGAGGGGTTGGAACTGGGGGATCTCTGTGGTCCCTTCCAACCCTGACAGATTCTGATCTGTTTTAGCAGAGGACTTAGTAGAGTTGGCTTCATGGTTGGACTTGATGATCATAAAGGTCTCTTCCAACCTAAATGATTCTATGATTCTAAGACAGGACTTGGCTGGGACAGTGCTTGGCCATGGGCACATCATGCTCACCACAGTTCTGTGGTCCATCTTCTAGACACCTGTATTCAAACCCCACTTTGGACTTCTCTACTCGTCCGCCACAACTGGTTCACAAAGGGCAGCAATGGTGCTGAGCACACAACTTCCTCACCTGTATATAACCATACACCACATTCCAACCCATATTCCCCAAGGCAGACATTGCTCAGCCATGCTTGGATCAAACATCCTTCCTCTGCACTGAAAAGACAAGCCTGGGTATGGTGCTGTTGGCACCAATAGCCATCCTGCCTGCAGAAAAACTAGATTCACAGGGCATACCTCAACTATTACAGGGCTGTTCACAGCAGCATTACCTTTTATCTTCTGTTTTCTTGGTGATTTCTTCAGGAGTGATGTTAACAAAGACTGCTGCTGGAACACGCAATGCTTCATACTCTGCTGGGGACAGAACTGGAAGGATTTTAAAGAAAAGAACACATGTGCCCTTGCTTTCCCTTCTAGTCTGAACAGCTCAAAGTGAGGTAAGCTCTATCCATTCTTGCTGTAGTAGCTGTGGGGCAGGGAAGGAAAATTACTAACAGGTAGGACATAACAGAAGCTGGCCAATAACAGAGGTCTCTAAAGGAGAGTGGCTCAACCACAAGTCACTGCTCCTGCATGGCTGACCTCATGACTATCCATAGTCAACCTGCTGCCAACAGGGAGCCACAGCATCCTGCTCTTGTAGGTCGTAGGGAAGAGGCAGGATATGGGACTTGCTGGCCCAAAATCTCAGCACAGCATGCCCCTGCTTTTGGATTGTGAGGGGAGAAAGTTTGGCTCCTTCACACACCCGGCAGTACCCACTCCCAATTGCCAGACCACTGACATCAGGGCTTAAAGGTGAAACCAGAGAGAAACCACCTGCCACAGAAAAAGATACTGTCCTCAAACTTGTAAACATCTTCTGGTTTTTCAGCATCTTCATTACATGGTGGGAGGAAGGTGGAGATGTTCTGCACATCATCTTGAGCCACATCCTGGATCAAAGCTTTGTAGGGAAGCAGGAAAAAAGAGAGTATTTGGACCATGGAAACAAAAACACAGAGAACCGTAACACAAATGCTTCCTTTAAACACAAGTCTACTCTGTGGTGGTTTTGGGTCAACACCAGTTCAGTCACAGCTGGAGTTTTAGAGGGTTAAAATTCCAGTTCAGTTTCTCTCACTTGGGACAACAGTAAAGAAAAGGCTACAGCTCTTCCCTATTTTGTGTCATTACTTCCACATTTGGTGCTGCCTGTACAGGAAGCATTCCAGTAGGCAAAGAAAGGCCAAGAGCTTCTGATATGCCTGCCACATGT